CTCGGCGTGACCGCAGCATTTCTGCCCTCACTCAGCTTCCCGCTCCTGCACACAGTTCTCGTGTCTGTGACACGCCAAATTCCACCTTCTCATTTCACCCCGCTGTCTTTCTTGCAGGTGAGAAGTACCTGTTCGTGTTCGGCGGCCGCTCTGCAGCGGAGCCCGTGCTGGGGGATTGGTGGTTCCTGCGCACGGATGAGCTTTCCCGCGCTGCGGTAAGAACTGCGGGAGGCCCCGGAGCGGATGCTGCCACCGCCTGGTGGGTGCTGCTGCGTGGGTGGCATTGGCAGTACGGTCACACTCCACTGTGCCTGGAGCTGCTGGTGGAACACCGTCCACACAGCGGGGGAGGTTGGAAGGGAGATCTGGAGATGGCCCCGTCCTGGCACCCAGCTTCTCAGGATACTGTCCAGCTGGGTTTTGATGGTCTCCAAGGATGGAGACTCCACATCCTGTTCAGTGCTTGGCCAACCTCTCTGTTACACGGGAGGGTTTTGGGGTCACTGGGTTTGTTGGTGTGTCCGTCTGTGCCCTTCGCCTCTTGCCCTGTCGCTGGGTTCTGCCGGGAACAGGCTGGCGCTGTCGTCTCTCCCGTCGGGCAGTTGTACGTGTTGGTCACATCTCCTCGTGAGTGTTCTCGGTCCCCGAGGAGCAGCTGCGGTGCTGGCACGATCCGCAGCGGATGCTCTAGCGCGGTGTGCGGGGTGTTCCTGAAATGCAGAAACCTCGGGAGTGCAGAGACGGGGCCAGGAGCACCCGCAGCCACGCTGCCCGCCCCATCAAAGAAACCCCCGAGAGCACTGGCGACCGGGGCAGGCAGATGGCCTGGCCTGGGGACGAGGGCGCGGGGCGCATGGGCAAGGGTAGCGACGGTGTCTGCCTGGCTGACCAGACCCACTTCCTGGGGAAGTCTGCTGCCTCCATGGGGCAGAGAAGTAGGGAGAAGATTCCCCACCCTGGCATGGCCAGTGGGTTATTATCCGTAGTTGGTTTTTCATGTGGGCGGCAGCCAAGTCCAGGGGCAATCAGAAGAGTCTTGGGAGCCTGGTGGCGCCTGGTTAAGGGCTCAG